ACCTTGTGAAGTACATCTGGAGTGCTTCGGTCGTGGGAGAGTTCTGTCTTGTTTTTACCTTGTTATTCAGCTGAGCCGCTTCTGTAGAAATTCTTGTTAAGTGACCTAAGAAATACCCGCTCTCCTGAAATACATGCAGTGAGCTGGATCTCTAATGCAGTGTGTGATTATACATTAATTGGTGGCAGTGGGTTTTTTTGACTGTTTTTCAAGAAACATCTTCCTATGCATCCCAGTTTAGCAGTTAGATGTTGAGATTTATGGTGCAAATTTTGATGAGTTTGTCTTCTCATTTTTGTCTGGGGTTACTTATTTCCTGGCTGCGTAACTACTCACAGGTTGCATGCACAATTCTTGACTGGAGAATCTTGCATGACCGCAATTTTTTATTTTTTATTTAATGTGTGGTAAGTTTCATTCTCTTTTGGTATTTGTTTGCACTTGCTGCAGAATGAAACCAATTCCACTTGTTTCATCTCTTTGTTTTCTCTCTCCGACTAGGTATACTCATAAAGAACAAGTACTTTTATTGGAGTGGACACTTACTCTTTACTGTGGAAAAACACTGTCCTGTGATTAAAAAAAAAAAAAAAGGAAAAAAGATTAAGTGTATTAAGAGCTTCTGGAAAGCTCTTTTGGGAAAGACAGGGCATTCAGTGCATGCTGAAAACCTGCTACAACACTATCTTAAGATACTACACATGATAGCCACTGGTGACTAGGGCATGCTTCCAAGCATGAAATCAAAGGTCGGTATCTAGTTGCTTCATGTACTGTAATGTCATAAGCAAAATTAATCCATAACAGAAGATGTATTTTTCATCAATAAACATGTGGATTAGCAGTATCCTTTTTTTAAGCAAATACTAAAACATGAGGTTGATTGTATTTACCCTGTACATCATTATGTGACTGCTTAATCCCTGCATGTTGCCATTGAGTCGTTTGCACAATAAAATCACTGAGGGGATCTTACTGTGGTGAGAGCCTGGCTCTGGCTTTCCTATTTGTACTGAGTGGGACCTTTTGGGATAAACATTTCGTAAACATTTTAACTCTACGGCTGGCCTCTGGGGGCAAAATAGCAAGATAAACCTTCCGGCTGCCAGTGCTGCCCTTCC